ATTCATGAACAAGAGCCTCACCACAAGGTGGTGCCGGCGACGGGACGGTGCGGGCGATCGACGGTGGTTACAACAGAGATTTAGAAGGCACTAAGTAAACCACACCTACATATGCAAACTAAGTGTTATTTTTGACCTCAAATTGCATATAAATCAAATGCTAGCAAATATAATTCCTCCCAAATTAATAACTATACAAAGCATTGCAAGAGCTAATCTAGCAATGAGAGTTGAAAGGACAAAGTTGCTAACCTTTGTGATCATTTGAATGGATGGGGGCCTTCAAATCTTGACAAATTTTGGGCAAAATGTGTGATGAGTTCGAGAGGAAGAGGGGAAGAACAGAGGAGGAGAGGGGAAAGGGGAAGAACAGAGCGAGCTCGGGTGGACGAAGGGTTTATGTAGGTCGACCTTTAGTATCGGTTCGTGCCACGAACTGGTACTAAAGGTGTTGGACGGGCCACAGACTGACAACACCCTGCCACCACCATCTTTAGTACCGGTTCGTGCCACGAACCGGTACAAAAGGTTCGCCACGAACTGATACTAATGAGAACGGCCGGCTAGCCGTTGGAACCGGCACTAATGTGTCTCATATTAGGTCCTTTTTCTACTAGTGAATCAAAGTCGGACAAACAAGATAAACAATGAGGAGGTGGCGTTGACATCATACTTAGATGTGAGATATTATCTCACATCTAGATGTAATATAGACGGACCCTATTAAAAAAAGCTACCTGCTTCCATGTTGGACAAGTCCTAGTTTTTTTTTCTTTTCGGAAAAAATCTGATCTATTCATCTTAAAGGCTCACAGTACAACGAACACCAGAAATAAAAAAATTACACCCAGATTTATAGACCACCAAGCGACGACTACAAGCACTGAAACGAGCCAAAGACGCGCCTCTTTCATCGCCACCCCCCCAGTTTTTTTGGCGAAAAACTTTCAAGCTATTCATCTTCAATCACGGCAGTATGACGAACACTAGAAATAATAAAAATTACACCTAAATCTGTATACCACCTAGCGGCGACTATAAGCACTGAAACGAGCCAAAGACGCGCCCGCCGTCATCGCCCTCCCTCACGGGAGCCGGGCAAAACTTGTTTTAATTATTATTTTTTGGCGAAAAAACTTTCAAGCTATTCATCTTCAATCACGGCAGTATGATGAACACTAGAAATAATAAAAATTACATCCAAATCCGTATACCACCTAGCTGCGACTATAAGCACTGAAACGAGCCAAAGACGCGCCCGCCGTCATCGCCCTCCCTCACGGGAGCCGGGCAAAACTTGTTTTAGTTTTTTTTTTGGTGAAGAAACTTTCAAGCTATTCATCTTCAATCATGACAGTATGATGAACACTAAAAATAATAAAAATTACATCCAAATCCGTATACCACCTAGTGGTGACTATAAGAACTGAAACGAGCCAAAGACGCGCCCGCTGTCATCGCCGTCCCTCACGGGAGCCGGGCAAAACTTGTTTTAGTTTTTTTTGGCGAAAAAACTTTCGAGCTATTCATCTTCAATCATGGCAGTATGATGAACATTAGAAATAATAAAAATTACATCCAAATCCATATACCACCTAGCGACGACTACAAGCCGAAGGCGCGTCGTCATCGTCCCTCCTTCGCCGGAGCCGGGCAAAACTTGTTGTAGTAGACAGTCGGGAAGTTGTCGTGCTAATGCCCCATTGGACCAGCGCAGCAGAACAGCAACCGCCGTCATTGAAGAGTAGTGTAGATCAAAATGATCCAACCTGAAGTCACACGAACATAGACAAACTACGACAAGATCCGAGC